GCTGGTTTGCGCAAAATTCTGTGAAATCTGTGCCAGTTCCAAGAATATTCTTGCGAAATCCTGCCAAATCTGTCGCAGTTCCAAGAATATTCTTGCAAAATGGTCTTATGTTTCACAAAATTCTGCTTGGCTTGGCCGAATTCTAAAAATATTTCGCAGAATTCTGATAGGATTTCGCAAAATTCTGCGGGTTTGGGAAAACTCTGCTGGTTTCCGAAAAATTCTGCGAAATCTGTGGCAGTTCCAAGAATATTCTTGCGAAATCCTCTTATATTTCATAAAATTCTGCTTTAACTTAAAATATCTCGCGAAATTATTTTCCTGAATTTTTTCCAGGACACCCAGTCTTTCAAGGACGCTTTGGGCGCAAAAACCTGCTGAGATTTCTTTTTTCCTTTTATTTTTTTTTGCAACGATTTTGCAACGTTCTGCTTGGATTTGGCAAAATTCTGCCAAGTCTCTGGCGGTTCTGATAATATTCTTGCATATTCCTGTTATATTACACAAAATTCTGCTGGGGTTGGCAAAAATCTGAAAGTATTTCGCAAAAATCTGACAGGATTTCGCAAAATTCTGCTGGTTTTGGCAGAACTCTGCTGGTTTGCGCAAAATTCTGTGAAATCTGTGCCAGTTCCAAGAATATTCTTGCGAAATCCTGCCAAATCTGTCGCAGTTCCAAGAATATTCTTGCAAAATGGTCTTATGTTTCACAAAATTCTGCTTGGTTTGGCCGAATTCTAAAAATATTTCGCAGAATTCTGATAGGATTTCGCAAAATTCTGCGCGTTTGGGAAAACTCTGCTGGTTTCCGAAAAATTCTGCGAAATCTGTGGCAGTTCCAAGAATATTCCTGCGAAACCCTCTTATATTTCACAAAATTCTGCTTTGCTTGCAGAATTCTGATAATATTTCGCGAAATTACTTTCCTGAATTTTTGCACGGCACCCAGTCTTTCGAGGACGCTTTGGGCGCAAAACTCTGAACATATTTCCCAACGTTCTGAATGGCCTTGGGAAAATTCTGCCAAATCTGTGGCGGTTCTAATAATATTCTTGCATATTCCTGTTATGTTACACAAAATTCTGCTTGGGTTGTCAAAAATCTGCCAAATCTGTATGGGAGAGTGAGAGTGAGAGTGAACTCATTCCATTATCATAACTTCAATGAAAAACATGGTCTCAACTGGGAGTCGAACCCAGGACCTTTGGCTTTCCGCTCCAAAGCTCTAACCACTGAGCTATTGCGACCCAGCATTAACCATGTCATTCATTTTCTACGTTATGAATATATTATTGTATAGTGTGAAATTTGTTAATTTTGAATGACCTAGTGGCCCTACAGGATAGTTTAGCCGTTGCTAGTTTATCCTGGTAGAAATCTGAATCTGTTGCTAGTTTATCTGGTGAAAATTGAACTTGATTGATGAAATATAATTGATGAAATATATAGACGAACAATGAAAATGTTTCACGAATTGCCGTCTGCTTTATTTCTAGGTTTTATGGACAAAGATCGATTTACTTAACTATGACCGGCCGTCTGTTGTAATATCGTATACCTTGTACAATAGGCAAATATGTGTCGCAGATGTATCTGCCTGCATAAGTGTGTATGCTTATTGCCGTACGCTTTTGATTGGTATGTCCATGTTATGACTGCTGGTCATCTTGTCTATGTCTATGAAAATGAAGTAAACAAATTTTATTCTATATAACAAACGTGTTTGACAATCTAAAAGGCCTATTCACATTTAAGTCGAAACTATTTATTTACATGAGATATTTATCACTTTATAAGTCGATATTGATTTAATATGCATTAAGTACACTTCTCTCTTACATGATATCGTTTTTATATGAAAACTTTGAAATAAGAAAATAAGCGATGTGAACAGTGCCAAATTCGGCTTGATAACTGATGTGTATGCTACCTGCTGTCAAGAGCAATAAAATAAATGCCTCTAACAGAAGACCACTCTTTAATTCATGGTTTGACAAACAAACTAGAAGACTAGTGGTCTTTTATTCTTGGAAGGGGTTTAGATAGTACTCGACCTCATGTACTTATGTTTCAAATAGGATCTACTTCTAGACCGAGATATAACCATCACAGATTTCATCTTTATATGTTATCGTTTTAGGCTATTTTTAGAACGTTTACGAAAAATTTCATTACTTTTGAAAAGAATAAGACAAGATCAAAAGATTTTGAGAAACTTTCTGTGTTACCGATACGTAGTGTGAATGCTTGACATGAAAAGTCGGACGTCAATTTAGCAATTTGTTGCAGTTACAAAGATATTCCGATTGTGTACGATGGAGGATGTTCCAGTGGTGTTGTTTCTGAATGGAATTTGTTTTCAAAATCAAAATACGTTTTTAGATAAAGCACAATGTCCTCTGTTTGATGAGTGCATTGAATAAGAATTTCAATTACGGTGGAATTTTTTTATAAAAATGCCCTCAAGACCTTTAAACTCAACAAAATCCAGGTTTTCCAAAATCTCATTATGAAATCAAAATCAAAGAAAACTGATATTACCATTGGATTCGGCATGGTTGATAAACTCTAGGCTCTGACTTTTAAGTTGCATCCTTTTCGTTTACGCACTTTTCTGTTATTTCGAAACTGCTTGACGATATACTTTCGAACAATGGGTTCTGTTGATTTTTTAAATGTGAATTAGAATAATTTTCTACCAAAATGTTTCCAAGAAAACGAAAACAAAACTTTACGAAAACGTTTGTTATGCCTGGGAGGCATTTTGCACTATTTCACTCGTAGTCCTTTCTTCTTCACGTCCAGGCTATCCATACTATTCATTCTTTAGTATATGTATGTACATATACAGTTATATTTACTATTTTCTCTTTTCTTTCTTTGTTATGATTCAATTCTTCCTTTTCTTCCGTCCTGATTTTACCGTGAAAATACCCATTTCGTTTGACTGTTTTTTTTTCGATCACTCTTCTTCGTTACTTTGTGTGAAATAGAGTGTTCTTTTTTATATATATGTTTCTTTTCTTTCGTGATAATATACTGTGAGAGCATTAGTGAACTTGTATGTCCAGTGAGCTTTTATACCATTCACTGACACTTAGTTAGTTCTTTGTTAGTTGTGCTATAGGACACGGGTCTTTGGAGTTCATTCATCCATCTGATATAAAGCATAACATAACAAAGTTATGTGTGCTCGCACACGTAGATAATCGTAAATATTATAGTTTTATGAAAAAATGTCTATTTGACGGTGGGAAAAATAGTCGTGGTGAGGGTGAGTGGGGGAGAGGGGGTGAGGGTGAGTGGGGGAGAGAGGGTGAGGGTGAGTATCTATAAGTGATGCCCTTCGCTCAATTGTTGGAGTCCTTCAGATGCGGTCGCTTAAATGTGGCTCGCTCAAAAATCGGTCGCCCAAATGAGGGTGAGGCGTTGCACTTGGTGCTGAACTGTCGTTATTACTCAAATGTCGGGTCGCTCAAGTGTTGGCGCTGGAATGTCGGCGCTCAAACGTCGGTTAATCGAACACTATGGACATATGTATCTTTTCTGAAAGCATTAGTACGGTCAGTTGACGAGCATTTTTCCAGTGAGGGCTTACCAATTCCGAGGTGAGCGGTACCCGTATATATAGACGCTCATCTGTATCAAGGATGTGGTTATGAGAGAAAGCAATTGAGTAGAAAGAAAAAAAGAAAGTGCTGTTTGTGTGGACGTAGGGAGTGAAAAGGATAAATGAATCAATATCGACACTGAACAAACCGTTTCGTATCAGTACTATAATTTAAGATGGAGTTATACGACCAGTTCTACTAGCTTTCGTGCGGTGTGAACGTGTATCCAAGTTACGTAAATCCATTATGTAACAGTGAATTTTCATTAAAGAATACAGATGACTTTTAACACTTTTGAAGACGAATCCGCAATTATCTAAATATATAATGTTAAGCTTTGATATTGAAAGCCTATTCAGAAGCATACCTAACAGATAATTGATATCATCTGCGAAAAATTATATTATACAGATCCAAAACAAAAACTATGTATACCTGAAGTATATTTTCGTAAATCATTATTACAATATGCTACCACCAGCACACACTTCACTATTAATAATAAATATTATGAGCAGTGCGGAGGTGTCTCGATGGATCATCTTTAGCTGCGATATTTGCGGAAATATTCATGTCTCACTTTGAAAATACTCTTATACCAAATTTCATTAATAATTCTAATCCAAAATTGTTCGTCTGATGGCGCTATGTAGACGACACCTTCACATTAGCCGCAGACGAAAACGAAATAAAAGAAGTCTTAAATAAATGCATCTTCTATTCAGTTCACAATAGAAAGCGAAAATAATGTAAAAATACCTTCTCTTGATGGGGATCTAAATTAAATTAATAATATTAACGATGATTCATCAGGTGCAATATACAAGGGAAACTACCGGATTTTACTGTTCTCAGGGAAAAGACATCCACTGGTCGTATGATTGAATGGGACCGTTTACTACCGAAATCCTATAAAAAGGCAGCCGTCAATGCTTTAATAAACAGAGCAATTAGAATATGTTCAAATTATATATTATTACATAAGCAATTTGATTATATACGTGAAATGTCAATCCGAAATGGTTATCCAAAAAACAAATCATAAGTTAAGTCGAAAACAAATAAAATCAACTAAAAGTAATCAAAATGCAGCTAGTTAACAACTGGAAGCTAGTCAAACTGTTGCAGAAGTCAGAACGTCTCTTAACGACGTCCAAACATACACAAATGAAGAATGTTCTATTTGAACTTTCAATGTGTTTAGTTTTTTACATGAAAGCTTCAGAGGCATGATATTCTTGCATACATACTCGATTGCAAACATAGATCGTCTGTTGCAGTATCGCCTTTTAGTCGTTCAGACAGCACGCATGCTGATACTAATCTTTTCACGTGAATAAGTTCAAAAGACTGAGTACAATGAGTGTTGAGTTGAAAGTCTCGATGTCTTCAGTACAAAGCACGTACATAAATATAATGCTTTTGTTCATTCGAATTATATTCCACTTTTTCAACTTCAAAACATGACGAAGCCGGGAAAAGAACTTCTTCTTCCTCGGGAAAAAATGATACTGCTGATATATCAAGGGGTTGTGACTTGGATGGAATATTAATTATAAATAATGTGTTACCGTAGATTTCAGCTAAATGCCGATTCTTGCTTGTGGATGAAAAATTTAGCCATTCTTTTGCACCTTTACCAATTGCTTGCTTATAATGTTCGACTTGTTCCGGATCCAAATTACATCCACGATAAACTAGACCTTTGTATTGATTTCGTTTGAGTTGTGATGAATAGGGACTGTTGTATAACAAATCACAAAACGCTCCTAATGTGTCTACTTTTGTCATATCTCCTTCTCTTAATGTCCTGTTTAATAACTTGTAAACAAAGGATTCTCGGGTGTAGATTTTAACACAACATTTTGATATTACATCCCATTGTTTATCTTTTACATTCATTAGTTCTTTAACAATATGTTTCGCTTCACATAGTTTTTGTAACTTCTCACCTTCAACCAACAAACCTTGAATGGCTTGTTCAACGCGCGCTGCTAGTGTAATACGGGGATTGCGCTTAGTCCATTCTTCCACAAATTTCGGAGATATCCATCTGCCTTGATCCTCAAAGGATTTTGGTGGTGATGATTGTTCAAGTAGAGAAGGTGGCAGACAAAATCGCTCTTGTCTCAGACATTGGTGTTTCTCAACAGCGATCGACACTCGTTTTATTGGGCGTTGTTTGTGATTATCGAGTTTATTTATTTGTAACAGATGTTTTAAATCAATAATGTACTGATCTAATTCAACTTGTTCCAAGTTCTGTTGAAGGGCTCCTTCAATAATTTCAGTGTCAATATCAGAATATTCTTTCCATTCATCAGACTCGTTTATGACAGACCAGGGATTTGGGTTTGACTTCCACAACCACTGGAATCTCGTCGACATTAGAACTCGTATGACTAAAATAGAAATAATCAAATTGCTATTTATAACAGCAGTGTAGAGAGGGAATAAGAATGGTCAGTCTAGAGTATATTTAGTCCTATGGAGTAAATCTTCTACTGATTCTGAGATCGATCAGCTTTGTCATGGTACCTATGTAAGCCATTTCTCCGCCCTTTGTAGAAAATATGATTGACCCTGCTTACAATCATGTCATTGTTTCATCAAGATACGCCTTGCTTCGACTTAGACGATGAGAGCTATACCGTGAAATGATTTTAATTGGACAATAACAAGCCTCAACTTGGGCTTGGAATAATGATATAGCAAATGCAATCATTCTGTAACCATTAGTGTTAGGGTCCTCCGTGGCAGCTCCAACGCCAAAAATACATCTGTCTTCTATGGTGAAATTGGGTCCAAAAGAAGTCGCAAATGTTCTTTTACATCAGCTGGAAGTAGAGTTTCCGCTTGTTTAATACGCATATCCCAATAAGCATTTCCCACTGTGGATGCATTTCTTGTTGTAATTCGTTTTGTTAGATCGAACGTCGGTGCATGAGGTTGTCTGTTCATCCAGTTTTGACATAATTCTGCATTGAAACGAGCTGCACCAAGTATTCGAATTAAACGAGCATCGTTGCTCGGCTCATAGTTCGCTAAAATTTCATTAAAACTATTTTGGCAACGCGCACAAGCCTCATTTATGGACACAGAAGGGCAAACAAACACACTCATGGCCAAACAAAAGTCACTTTCAACTTTTGTTCGGCAATCATCTGGACTTCGTTGTCTTTGAAAATAATTTAACAGTTGTGGAAGTTCATCAGATGTTTTTGCACTCGATGGATAACGAATAAGACACACGGCTAGATGAATACGTGCTTGAAACTGATCGAATTCAGAAGCATGTTTATCGGAATAATCTAATGACTGACGAAAACAATCAGCAGCATCTTTGACGTATGTCTCGTTGGATGGAAAATGCCAGTCAGCTCGTCTCATACACATAGAACCAAGTACATTTAGACTAGCAACAAGACCACGCATATGTCCCAGTTCTTCTCGTATTTCAACAGCTTCTTTCATTATGTTTAGAGCATCATCAAGCTCAACAATGTTTGATGCCATTTGATACTTGTTCAATGCCACTTCGTGCAGATTCATACCTTTTGTTTGAAGAAGGCCGATTTTTGGTACTGCTTCGAGCCACTCCTTGATTAAATCAGACGGTTCGTCACTCTTCGGTAAAAATCGTCTTAATTGTGCCAATAGCATTGCGACATCAAGCGCCAAATTACGCTCACGTCCTTCTTGATCGTCAGTTGGTCGGCCGCAGCCATCTAGCAAAGTTTGTAAAAGAGTTATAGCAACAGCTGCGCCATCCTTTTCCACATAACGTTTTACAATCGCGCTCAAATATTGTGCCTTACGTGTTGCCCAAGAACTTTCCCTTAAAGGTGCAGTCTGTGCAGCGTCTTGCGCATCATACATTGCTTGAATACGGTCAACTCGATTCCCGATTTCAATAGCAGCTTCAGCACCGGCTAATTTTGCTATACAATATTCTCGAGTACCAACAACAGCTGTTTCAGTCGCCAAGTCAAAATAGCGTTTGGCATGAGAGAAATACGATAGATGAGCGAGCATCGCACCACTAACAATACAACTTTGCCATTTCGTCGGTAATGGTAATGAAAACTCTGTGCCTTCTGTCGTCGTTGCTTCTTTCTCGATTTGAACTTTGCCATACAATTGGGCAACAGCGAGTAATATAGCGTTAGGATCAGATGTTGCAGCGATTGTCAGATGATCAGCTATACCTCGGAGAGCCCAAGCACGGACTAGACCAATCAATCCTCGGTCGAATTTTGAAATATCATCTGGTATACCATTGGCTACATCCACTCCATTGTAAAACAGAGGTTCTGCACAGTTCTCCATCCACTGAACCCAAAGTATATGTTGAGGTGTATCGACCGACCTTAACCAACGTGTTACATCAAAATCATCATTACCACTATAGCCAACTACTAGGACTGGTCGTGTCCTTAATAAATGATGTAAAAACAGTCGACGCTCTTCTGATTCTCTGGTTAATGAAAGAAGTTTAAGAGTTACTATCGGACCACCCATCTCATCTGCTCGTATAAGAGACCATTCGTTATTTTCCCATTTTGCAACCGTTCCGTGCAGTTTCCACAAACCTTTCAAAGGAGGAGATATAGTGTTATTGATCGAAATACAAGCGTTCTTGAAATGTTCATCTGTATAGAGCACATCAAATGGAACAGCTTTTGAAGAGCAGCGTGATCGACCAGCATCTTCAATAAGATGATTAAAATTCGTTGTTACAACAGTTGAGGTCAGAGCTAAAATAGCTAGTGCGTCATGCACTTTAGTTGGTGTTGTTGAGCCACTATTCAGAACATCTAGTAGAGACAAACTAGGATCAATATACTGTTGAATAATATCAAAAACTGCTTCAAACCGTATTCGAGGTGGTCCAGTCTGAAAATGAGGTTTGATTAGTTCCCAGGCCGAATGTAAGTTTTGATTGTCATCCGAATCTCCAGCTGTAGTATATTGTTGAACAAGATGTTGTATACCAGCAATGGGCATTCCAGAATTCATTGATAAGGCTGTTCCACAAAGAATCACAAATGGAGAAGAGCGAAATGATGTTAATCGTAATGAAGCTAGTAGTTCTTCTTGTTCAACGGATAGTCTAATAGGATCTGCATGAAGTGTGAAGCTAGGCTGGTGACGAACAGAAATCGGTTCCGAGATGCACTGTCTATTGTTGTTGTTGTTGTTGTTGCTGCTGCTGTTGTTGAGTTTATTGAGTTTGATCTCTATCTTTGGGAGATGTAAAAGACCAGACTCATTCGTTGGTGTTCTCGTTGCGCTTTTTCTGTCCCATTAATGTGTATCTCTGTTTTAGTTTATCCATGTAATATCGACAACACTTCTCCTTTTCTCACTTTGATTGCACATAGTATATTCGTTTTACAGTAACATACTTTCTGTATTCATGGAGTAGCGTCATGGTGACAAGAGCTTGTGCGTTTTCTACATGTTTTAATAAAAAGAAGTTCAGTAATATTCTATACAGCATGGACTTCTGCACTTTTCACTTTTGCAGATTGCAGTTTTAATACGCGGACAGAAGTATTCTCCTCCTAGATAGACAGATTTCCGAGCATATCCTCTCTAGATATATAGATATTTACATTTCTGTTCCTGCCAAGACTCTTCGCTTCAATGTTGTTTTAGCTGACAGTTTATCTACAGCTGAAATATGGCACAACAAGTACTCTCACATTTCCCCCACAACATTACTCATCACTTAATTCTTTTCTCTTTGTTCAATGACTTCCTCTTCAGTCATCTGTCCACTTTGACATCTTTCTTCTTATGCGATACAGAAACATCAGACCACCTCAAGTGCAGGACGTTTTTCCGAGACTTTCAAGCAGTGGATCTCATGTTTACTCGAATCATCACGCGATGAATCTAGAATCACGATATAGCAAAAATGAATAAAATATAAAACTATTGACGAGGAAGGTCCCCAAGTGTGACTGGCCAATCGAGCTGATATTTTGCCCAGAAGTAGGACCTAACGAGACTAGTAGAAGCCTAGACGCATTCGTCCCCATATACTGTCCTTCTTGAGTTATGGCCGTTTTACTAGATTTTCGACGACTGGAAAGGCATATATGAAGTAACAGAATTACGGCATTTTGACCTGAAATTCTACCCATAGGTAAGCCTCATTATTATTAGAATGTGTAAAAGTTTCAGCCAAAAACAATGGTTTCTTCCCGACATATCGAATGTCGAAGACAGCAGATTTTCGGTCTTATTCTGATGACACATGACCGTTTCTTGCTCATTCGATATCTCGGAAAGAAACCATTGTTTTTGGCTGAAACTTTTACACATTCTAATAATCATGAGGCTTACCTATGGGTAGAATTTCAGGTCAAAATGCCGTAATTCTGTTACTTCATATATGCCTTTCCAGTCGTCGAAAATCTAGTAAAACGGCCATAACTCAAGAAGGACAGTATATGGGGACGAATGCTTCTAGGCTCCTACTAGTATCGTTGGATCCTACTTCTAGGGAAAATATCAGCTCGATTGGCGAGTCAAACTTGGGGACCTTCGTCGTGAAAGACACATGCGTGAGCAGCAACTGAGTTGACAAAGTAATAAGACTATGCAGTTCCAGATCATAATAATGGAGATGCTTCACATGACTTAGGAAGGTGTCATACTATGGATATAGAATGTATCTACCTCTAGCGATCATCTCAACAGAGGTTCTATACGTACATCTATGAGTTGATAAACTGTACCATTAATCCAGTGTCACGAAAAGTCATTATATATTGTAATATTTCGACCATATTTATTCTATCAACGTAGTAATCTGCAACAAAACAGATATTCAGTATATACATATAGAACAGGAGAAACTCTGTTTCTTTTTCTGTTACTGTCACTCCAGCACTTCTCTCCTTGTTCTATAGATAGAAACGTTTCGACATGATTATCAATTGTTGTCCTAAATCATTGGCTCATGCTGGTGGTACATCATATACATGAAGTTACGATATACCTTTTCTTTTCATTCTGTCTGGAAATAAAAATAAGGATACGAATATGTGCGTGGGTAGACTCCTTCACAACTAATTGATTATAAGGTATTCACAAAACGCAAAATTAAGCTTTTGTTCAGATCTTTTGCCAACGATTTTCCGGTTCCTTTTTCGCGTTTCTAACATCTATATAATTCGATGTGCCGCGAGCTGTTCTACAAAACTGCATATTTAGTTTCTTGGTTCAAGAGGGGCATCCAATCCGACACGGTCCTTTATAGCAAGTCATTAGATTTTCAATGCTGATTTAAAACAATATTGTTCGAACCTTCCATCATGATATTTTCGTCCAGACACGCCAATAGAGTTAGTGAGCTTTCATCTTGGGAAAACTCCCTTTAATCAAAGAGCCTTGGCCTAATATTCGCATGGCTTTGCTCCTGTTGTTTATGTACGTCCGATGTCGAATGACTTTCTTCCATTACATGCATCTCATTAATGAATGTTTCCTCCCATCAAAAAAAGAATTATTGCTAATAAAGCAAAAACACTTCAAACGAATGAATAAGAAGTGTTGACACTCTCTTATCTGTATGTATTAGAAGAACGGAAGCGTTTGTGTTATCGTTTATGATTCAGAATAGTCAGATAAAAACATGGTAAAAAGTAGCAAATTATAAGCTTTTATTATGTCTTCGTACTAGATATAAATCATAAAATGCGTTACTTCCTTTCTCCCACCATCATCGTCTATGTGACAAAAAAAGAAAGACTGTCACAAATGACAAGTGATAAATATTGTTCCACACTGTGAGTTATTTCCCTCAGTATGTTCTAACACAATTTTGTCAGCACTTGCATACCATTCTGGAGATTGATAAAAGTTCAACATAATAATGCCCTCTTTTTCCTAAGCTTACGAGATGACAGAAAACGCGCACACAGTGGAAAATGAAACTATTGGAAGTGATAAATCAAGAGCGAGCACTATCACTAGTGTGGATGAATTAGTCGTATCGAGTGAACCAGATACACGAGATGTTCCGTGTTTAACGTTTAGATTTTGGTGTATAGGATTATTATTTTCAATTGGTATACCGTTTGTAAATCAGTTTTTTTTCTATCGTACACATCCGCTACGTATGAAATCAATGTTAGCTTTACTTCTATCATATCCGCTCGGTCTGTTGATGGCTCGTATATTACCAAAAAAATCTATTTCATTCGGTCGTGGCTTGACAGTTTCCTTGAATCCGGGACCCTTTAACATAGTGGAACATATGTTAATTGTTTCAATGACAAGTACAGCTATACGTCAATCGTATTCAATCGCCATATTAACTGTTATAAAACTATTCTACAAAAAATCATTAAATTATGGCATTGCTGTGTTGTTTACGATTATACCGCAAGTGCTAGGCTACGGAATTGCAGGTACGATCAAGTGCAGAGCAAGGCTCCACTTGACATTTTGTGAAACTTCTCCTCTGAAAGAGCAGCATATTCTGGCTTTAGTGCCTTGAAAAGACGGATTAACTAATAGAGAAAAGCGTGGCTTTATAAAATAGGAGTAAATGTACTGACAAAAGCTCAAAAGGTTCCGTATGGGACCGTTTTTACTTGAAATGGTATCATATAATAAAGAAAACCTTCACGAATGGCTTTGCTAACTTGTAAAGGTTCCAAAAGTATGATTTTTGGAAGGAGCATGATTAATAATTTATACTTAAATGTAAATTTCACGATGTCATTGTGTCTTACTATTAATTTATTTCATTTAAACATACGCGCAAATTAATTTTTTTATCGAGTTTAATATTTCTGTTTGGGTAAATGCCCTTCAGTTAGAACAAATAGTAATCTGAGCAGAGATCTAGGGTCCGTCTCTGTGGCGCTAAGAGCGCGTCGCACATATAACATCAGTGTATGTGAATAAATTCAGCTCTTAGCTCCAGCAATGACTGTTTTTCTTTTGTTTTGACAAATCGTTTCTATAGACAGATTCTTTTAGTCGAAAAAAAGCAGTGGTTCCGTATCACGCTACTTTTTGGATGCAGCCTGTTTCAGACGAAACTTAAATATGACTTAGATTGAACCTCGATAAAGCCTCACCTTCTGTTCTCTCTGACACCTTGTCTGATCAAGTGTACGCTTATAAGATTTTGTGAATCTTCTTCTAGGTTATATAAAAGCCGGCGTGTAAATTTGTGTAGTAAGAGTTTGCCGAAAAATTGTTTTCATGATATTTTCGTCGAGGCACGCCAATAGGCTTAGTGAGCTTTCATCTTGGGTTTAGACTTTACGTTGTGACAGCCTAAACACACAGAAAGTTTCTTCTTAAAACCTGGAGCAGAACAGTCCAAACCATATGCTGTAGTTGGTGAAAATTGGAAGAAAGAGTGCTCAAGTTAAGGGTCAATTCGAGAGGGAGTAGGAAGTGGCTTAATGGGAGTTGAAATAGCATGGGAGTAGTTTCATTATTATATTCACGTAGCTATACTTTGCGAAGCGTCCTCTTCCATTTTTTTAGGAATTGTACGCCGATTTGTGGTCTGGCCGGACCCAATGATTTGGCCTGTTACATTACCGTACACTACACTTTTTAAAACATTGCACAAACGTGACGATGAGACAAATCAACAAAATTCAAAGCGCTTAAAATTCTTTTTTATTGTATTCATATGCCAGTTTTTTTATTACTGGCTTCCGGGATACATGATGCCAATACTCACAACATTTTCATGGATATGCCTAATCCAACCACGTAGTATTTTACTTTCTCAATTAACTAGTTGTCATGGGCTCGGACTTGGTGGTGGTTGTTTACAGTTTGATTGGAATTCAATAACAGCATTTCTTGGTTCACCTATTGTACCACCGTTTTGGAGTCAGCTGAACATTTTTGTTGGGTTTATACTATTTGCATGGATAGTCGTACCTTTTACTTATTATACAAATCTATGGAATACAAAACTGTTTCCGATCGTTAGCAACAATTTATATACAATAAATGGAACGGTCTATAAGCACACATTCATCCTTGATAAACAAAGTCAATTTAATGAAACGGCCTATGAATTGTATAGTCCAGTTCGTATGACTGTTATGTTTGCATTTCATTACGGTATACACTTTGCTATACTAACATCAATTATTATGCATACAATTTTGTGGCACAGTCAAGATCTTATAACACAGTTAAAAACATCAATTAAAAATAGTTTATCGACAAAAGTAATAATAACTACAAGAAACACTGTCGTACCGGATTATTGGTTTGTAATTCTTTTTGTAGTTACATTTATTGTTACCATTATTATGTGTCATATAGGTCAACTCATACCGGTATATTATCTTTTTGTCGCAATTATAATTCCCTTTCTATTTATCCTACCGGCGGGTATTATTGTAGCTATTACTGGACAATGGATTAACGTCAATGTTCTATGTGATTTTGTTGGCGGGTTGCTCTTACATGGAAATCCAATTGGTAATATAACGTTTCTGACATTTGCTAGAGAACCATTGTTAAATGCACTGTCCCTATGTTCAGAATTGAAAAATGGAGATTATTTAAAAATTCCTACACGTAGCCTGTTTATTGCACATCTTTTGGGTATGCTAATCGGTGGTTTTGTAAACTATACTACTAGTAGTTATATGTTGAACACAGTAGAAAATATCTGTACATTAGAGAACCCATTATGGTCATGTCCAAAAATTCTAACACTATATTCAACATCAGTCATTTGGGGTATTCTCGGTCCAAGAAAAATATTTGGTAAAATATCTCCTTATTCTCATCTCTTGTGGGGCTTTCTCCTCGGGCTTCTGTTACCAATACTATTTTGGTTTATATATAAAAAAATATATCCTCAACGACACTGGCTAAAATATATTCATGTGCCAGTCATGTTAATTGGCATTGGAATGATGCCTACAACTTCAGCCGGTAATTATGTTACATGGTTACTCATTGGTTTTGTCTGTAATTATATTTTGCATAAATATTCACTTCAGTGGTGGAAACAGTACGCATACATATTTTCAATTGCAATGGATTCCGGGGTCGCTGTGTCCGGTATATTTATATTTTTTATATTTTCACATCAAAACATTAAATTTCCTAAATGGTGGGGTTTAGCGAATGATGGTGGATGTCCATTAGCGAGGAAAACTTTTTCTGGAAAATAAACACAAATGATGATAACGATAAAACTCAATGAATAAAAGCAGCTGATTTGTGAAGCGATTGGTTATAACTCGAACTGGTCGAAAAAGTTAGAAGAATTAATTAGACTCCAAGAAAAGCTGAAGTTAACTTTCACATAGACACAAAGAACAGTTTCAGTTATTGTGCTCTAAATTCTTCTACACTTTTCCTTGATTAAAAAAGGAGAGTTATACGAAATAAAATGCCTCTTTCCTTGGTTGCTTGCTTGTCCGCAAGAAAAGAAAAACAAGAAGAATCTACCTAGGGAGCTTTCAGGGTTTTCTGAACTCTTCTCTGAATGAGAAGACAGGCTTTGCTGGAGAAAACATTGGAAAAGATTACTCAAGTCTCTAAGTAGACGTTGTGATAAATGTATTCCGGACTTCACGAACCATCTGAATGTTGAGATGCTGAATCTCGATTTCCCGACTTTTCTTCGGATACAGTATTGAGCCGCTACGAACAAAAGCGCATCTGATTCACAGCTGATAGCACTCCAGGTATGCCTAGAAAAGTCGAATAGACTAGACATGGGGAGCCGTACTGCAGGTTCTTACTGGGTTTTATTCGATTCAGAACTGTTCTATCAATAAAAGACTTATTATGTTTGTAGCTTCTCTTCTGCTGTTTCAAAATTTATGTGTTTTTTTGTTTTGTTTTGTACAATATGGAGGTATCAAGATCTTATGAAAAAAAATCGTATGGAAAAATCATAGAAAGGGATTCAAGTTATAAAATCTTATAAAAATCGTATAAGAATCCTGCGAAATGTGATGAAATCTTACTATAAGATCTTGCATCAAGAATCAGTTTCTATGATTCTTACAGAATCTTACAAATTCTTATATGAATGTTACGAAATCAGACGGAATCGTACAAGAGTCTTATATGATCTTAAAGTAAGATTCTTTGGCGTGGGCAGTTGTACGTTAGTTGTTTTTTCCCTCGCCTCTTTCTTTCTGCCTTTTTCTATACAGTTGGATTGACTAGATGTAGATGATGACACTATATGATAAAACATTTCAGAATCGATAGAAATGCATTTTTCTTCTCACCATGATATTTTTGATAGTTTCACACAAGAATGTTATACAATGCAACAAAAATCTGGTAAGATGAAGACTGACGAACCAGTTATCGGCGTATAAATAATAATTTTTATCTAGCAGATCTCTAGCTAGATGGACTCCAATGCGTTCTGATACTGAGAGTGCATCCGATTCTGGACAATCGTTAGCTCATTCATCGATTCCTAAAGACAGCGCACGTAATCAGTTGATTTAAAGAAAAATTTTCTTATTAAAGTACCTTGACCGGTGTAGACTGCAAAACTATATAAATATCCATTCGAACTGTTACAGAGGGTCATGAGTTTGATACCGAAACGTGCGCGTTTCCTTGGATTATACTGTTTGAAGAAGTAGAAGATGAAGAGGAAACCGAGGACACAATTCAGGGTAGAAAAAGAAACTTACTAAACGCCCTTTGTACAATAAGAGAGCTTCATCCGTAGCGATATGCTGAGATGGAATTTGAACTGACTGACATAATCCTCTTACAGCGTTTAGAATGAGCGAATTTTTTTCAACCAAAAAATTTAGACAAATGAATAAAAATTTAGACAAATGAAATATAGGCGTAATTTTGTATGGATCAGTTGACCAGTAATCTTGAAGTGTACGCTTACGATTACTGTCCATATGATATATTATCGCGAAAAACTTCTTTGTTTCTTATGTAGTAACCTACAGAGAAGAATTAGAAGGAACGAAATAAAGAAATTAGTAAAAAGAGGTCTCCTGGGACACAAAACTCTTACTGATTTCCAGATGATAGTTCTATCTGATTTGACTTTCAATAAATAAAATTGAACACGTTTATTGGTAAATTTTGTGATTTCATCAAACAATGTGTCTGGTAGTATTTTTTCCAAAAACTCCTCTGCCTTTGGATCTCTAGAAACATTAAAACGCGCGCTTTTTTTCATATGCATGCCTTTGGACGCGAAAAAAGAAAAATAACGACATTCAAGAGGTTAAAATTTATTATACATATTCTGTCAGGAGGACCCGATTACGAATATTTTTTATTTTAATTTTAATTGTACCCGATCTTCATGGAGAAGAATCCAAAACACTGAGTAGAGGTGAAAAGATCGAAAAAACCGACCTCTTTCTTAAAAATGATTTTTTGAAGTCATCTTTCTAGATAAAAATTTCCAACTATATTTTTCTGAATCAGTCCCATGAAATAATTTTGATACCCTAACGCAGGTTAGCATGCGTTAAAAAAGAAGTTTTCGAGAAAATTGTGTTTGAAATTGTGTTAAATTTTCAAATATGACGCGTGCTAACGTTTCTTCGGAGCGGTAACGAGACAGATCCGGTTAAATATGGTTCTAAGAAATTTAACGAGTTTGCACGCATTCAGATTTTCCAAAAATCGATGATATACGGTGTAAACGCGTTTAAAAATAAAGAATACATGTACATTCCTGAATAAAAGTTTATCTTAACTCGTTTAAACGGGTTAGAATAGATTTTAACTCGTTAAAACT